AATTATTTTGTACTGTATGAAATAAAATATTTTAGGGTTAAAAATGTACGGATCATATTTTCTTTACGATTCTGTAATTAATAGAAAATGAAATAGGATTTGACTTTCTTTATTATAAACAATTAAACACGCTGTACACTTTATGAAATATCTTTTATTTGTATGAAAGTATACGTGAAATGATCACATGTGATATTTAAAATATAAAATTTGCATTACAGTGTCACACAATCGTACGTGTATGTACGTCTCTCATGTAAACTGTACAGGCACAATAATGCACTTTATAGAAAACGTTCAAATTATCCATCTGTCGATAATTGCCTACTTTACATTATATTACAAAGCTGGTTTCATTCCTCTCATACACAATTAAAACGTATTGCATACATCGTAAGAATCAGGGTCAATTATGAGTTGAGCTTAATAGTTAAACGAAACTTATATACATGAAGATAATCTTAGGTAGCTTTTTTAGGTGGCGGCCTATAGGTTCCGACTACGACAGCGTGATCTCTTTCGTATGGCTCTAACGTGATTTGCTCCTGCGGTTTCAATTTGTCGGCAATTAATTTCTTCACTTCCGAGGCAAATACTGCTTCAGGTTGTGCTGTAGAGTCTATACAACTTGCCTGTAAAGAAGACAGTGTATTATCCCAATAGCATACAAAACTTTCATTATATTCTTCTGGTTATTATATTTACCTTAATAGAGATGACAAAGTGACCACCATTTTTCAAGAAATATTGGGCATTTAAAGATACTATTCTGGCTTGGTCAGGCTGCGCAACATCAGCAAATACTGTATCCACCATGCCAACAAGCATTCTATACTTGTGAGGATGCCTTGCATCTTCGATTATAGGAATAATATTCGTCCGTTTCTTAGCAACATTTATAAGATCTCTACCAGATCTGTGAGAAAACTCTACAGCATATACTAATCCCTCCTAAAAGATACATCGTACATATAATCAAATATAACAAAGTCGCTAACAATTAAGAATAAGTAAATAGTACTGTACGCACGTTTAGTCAAAAGTAAAATATATTTTACTTAATGGTAGAGCGTGCATTTGATTTCTCTAGCATTACGTCGACACCAAATTAGCAATGATACACCAAATTGGCTCTAATGTATGCATGTTCATATCGTGAATAATTAAAAAAATGTGTATATATATATATAGATAAACCTACTGGGCCAACAACATCTGCAACGTGCGATACTGTAGTTCCAGATGCGGCACCTAAGTATAAAACTTTACTTCCTGGAGGCATGTGAATTTGATCGATACCTCCAAGTATGGCTGCAGCCAATTTCGATCTAAAAGGATTCCACACCCTGTATTCAACTTTCTCTCCATTCTCTCCCTGTAATAATTATTTCATGGATGTAGCAGATTGCACAACATTGATTCATATATGATATTGACTCAGTTACTCTACCTCCACACTTATCCTCTTCTCACCATACACTTCTGAACCTGGTACTAAATTTAAGGTAACTAATGCATCCTCCTTTCCTCTAGCTATAAAAACTCCTTCGTGACGATGTGGCTCGATAACAACTGTTTTGCCGCCTTTGAAACCACCTCCTCCACGACCTCTTCCTCCTCCACCTCCTCCTCGTCCGCCACGGCCTCTTGGAGTGCCTCCTCCTCGTGCACCTCCACCTCTACCACCTCCTCCGCCTCCACCTCTACCTCCTCTAAATCCACCACCTCTGCCACCACCTCTACCACCACCTCTGCCACCATCTCTACCTCCTCTAAACCCACCGCCTCCGCCTGGCGAAAATCCTGTAATAAAATAAATTTTATAACATAAGCACTACAAATATAAAACCTACATTAGATTAAATCTGGACACAGCATTTACTTGTAACAAAACAGCAAGCTTTCTCTAATATGTACAGCTTTTACGAACCAAACAGTAGTTATATTAAGATATGTATTACAACATTCGTTTGTAATGACTATTCAGTTCACGAAACCTATATATGTTAGAGCATGCTCGCTGTTCCGTTATAAACGAATGCTCTAGTCTATAGCCTGCTGAAAAATATCTTTTACACATGTCTCTTGTAATTGTTTCAACATATTTATTATTTTAAAGCGTAAAAATAATTTTACGGCACGCGAGTATAGGTTAAAGTAGAAGTATAAACACAAATATCTCGATATACTTAACAGAATGATATATATATTCGAGTGAAAAATTATTAATTAATAGTTGATAAATAAATTTATACATTTTGTGCCGCGAATGTTGCTATATCCTATCAATTTAAAGTAAATAATTACTAAGACGATTCAAGCCTATTTAAATTAAATTTGTAATAGGTACTAAAATTCTTTATTGTCCAAATACTGATAATATAACTACAGTATAAGAATTATTTTCTTACCTGGTTTTCCCATTTTTCTGTACTTAAGTATCTAAATTTTCTTTAATTTATACCAACTCCCTGGTCTCCATACACGTGTATTATGGATGCTAAACCTTTACGGAAGCGGCGGCTTAACCCGAACGTCTTCCGGTTTAAAACGATATATCGAATATACAATCGATTATTATCACAACTGCGTCAAATTTTAATAAATAAATAATAAGTAGATGGTAAACGTATTTAAAGAATTATTTTTTGAACTCTTGTGATTACATCACACCTTAATAATTTTTTCACCCTTCCTCTCTTAACAATTTCTTCAAATTTCTTCTTCTTTCGTATGCTAGAAAAATCAAGGGACGCGCATTGATGTAAGATTTGTGGAATTTTGATCGCAGCGCGCGCGGTGAAGAAAAGTGAAACTAAAGGTCCTGATGTAAGATTTGCGGATTTCTCCGCCCATAGCGTGGTCCCAGTCTAGAATGCTGTTATGTCTTAGCTTTAAGGAGAACCTAACCGCGCGCGTGGTTTGAACCAGCGTTGAGATATTTTTTCCCTTGGCCGGAAAGTGGGGACGACGCGACCATGGTAGGGACTCCTCGGTGGTAGGGACTTCGCGCCGTTGTGACTACGTCGGTAACATAGGCAATGACACGTAAATGGTAAAATTTTTTTTTCGAGTCGCCAAAAATCCTTCTCGCAATCATGATTTTTATCAAAAAAGAACCCATTTTCAAAGTTTCAGCCAATTCAAAGAACGGAGCTTTTCGGAAGTACAGCCCATTTTGATGTCAGAGTTTGCAATATCGTCTGTCGTGAGGACAGGACTTCTATTGGGATAACTAACTGGAGTGGCATGTTATCAATGCGTGGTCAAAAAATTTGAAAGAATCTTATCCCTACGTGTACATTTCTGTATACACAGGTCAATAATCAATGGAACACGTATATCTAAACTAAATGTACATATGTATTTCACACGTATATATTTTTTTCTTCTCGACATTTTTATAATAATATACTTGACATTAAAATAAACCTTGTATAGAACCGCATCGCTAATTTGCTATAGCGATGGCACAATTTAAACAGATACAATTTTTTCACAAAAGTGTATTAAAATTACCTATCGTATTTTTGTCGCATTACTTTTATTATATATGAACGATACGTAGTTCATGTTGGTCCACTATTATAATAGTTTACATCTAATTCAATCGGCATTGAATTTCTCTACTTTCCAACGTGGTAATACACTGTACGATCGGCGAAAAATTTAAACCCGTTCGGCACAATACGTACCTCGAATCGTGTTTAACCGAATGGCAACCTCGCTCCTGTAAGTGATTGTTGTACTAGTGCCACTGTTGCGAGGTGCATATTGGGAAACTGGAAAAGACGTGATATATTCATAGAGGAATCGATCTATCTTTATCCTTGTGCGTAACCGCAACGTCGATATGAACATTTTAAACAGACCTACACCGTAAATTCAAGTCAGACTTCTAAACAATTCCATAAAACGAAACTCCATTAACGAGATATGCTTACCGAATACATGTATGTATCTACAACAAGTACATACTTAGAGATCCAACGTTTACACTTACGAACTAACTAAAGCCTCACTGTCAGTTTTTTACAGACTAATTGTAACATGTATGCCAACGTACGTCGTCCCTTCCTAATTCTAATTTTAATAATATCTTCTAAGACGTTTTTGCGGTGAATAGAGAAAAATAAATTAAAATTCTTCGGAATGAAATGAGTAGTGGAGCGGCGGAAAGTTCGTAGTCGATTCGATTAAACGTTGTTTAAGTTGGCTCTCGCGGCGCAGCAGAAAAGATTCAAAGCTCCGCGAAAGTAGGACGATTGTCTAATAGGCCTGTTGGGTCTATCATGGCTTTGGTTCCATCGATGCACCCGTTTACCATTGGTACGGTTGCCTCTAGTTCCAGCGCTTTGCAGAGCTGCGTACTTTTCTGTAAAGAAAGTTATCAAAGTTTTAAATATACATACTATACAAATATGTATATGAAATATGTATATACATATATATGAATGTATACATTGTTTTAAAAAAATACATGTACTTCTAATTTCGTAAATGCTTATCTTCAAAGTACTTCGAACCGATGCCGCGAGCAAATATTGATACTTCTTCGAAATGTTACAAACCATTTTTTATTAAAAGAGACGACTTAGGAATAATTCTCATTCGAATCGTTCACCTTAAGGTATTAATTTCGCAGACAGAAAATATATGGTGGATGAAGGTGTGCATATCGATGTGAGCAAGCCTGTCAACGTGGTCGTCGAATGGAAAAATTTGCACGACCTTGCACGGCACGATTATTGCGCCGATCCTGGGTCAAATCACTTTATCGGCTCGTGGTCGGCATATTTCTCTCTCTCTCTCTCTCTCTCTACCCCTGATAATTCCACACTTTCCCGCGGCCAGTGAATTCTCGTTCCCGTGAAAAACGAAGGGAACGCAATTTCCATGTACCCTTGACCCGAATCTCTGGTTAAATGTTAACTATGTCCTAACACCCTCGCGCTTCGACGGTTATATGCATATTTGTCTCTCCGAGTCTCGTCTTTTCCGTGTATACCTGCCCAGTCTGTGACCGAAGCTTACCAAAATCTCGATGGTAGGAAAAATATATATTTCCCTATTTTTATAACGATATCTCACGTATCTCGTTCGTTCGGTAGATCCTCGTTCAAGTCCGTCGCTCACAAGCTGACACGAGGGAATAAACCGTGCGTTCCTTTTTATTCGCGCTTCGCTTCTTCCTCTCGGCTCGTTCCCTGCTAGTCGTCGTTTCGCGCTGTTTCCTCAACGAATTCTCTCGACACGCCGGGTGCACACCGCCACTCGACCTGCCCTTTCTCGAAAATTTCATCTACGAATCCGCTTGCTTCCGTACGCTCGTTCCTTCCGTAAACTTCATGCGATTTCCTTCGAACACGTATCCGCTGTTTCTAACGTGCGGAAATCCGCATTTCGACTTTGACCCGGTTCCTGTTCAATGTCAGATTTCTCAAACCGCACCTTTACTGGTCCCGGTGAGTCTCAGCTATTCCCTTGATAAGCAGGCGAAGTTTCGAATTGATACTTAGAGTGGATCGAAGTTCGTGGTACGGGATAATTTTCGTGCACCCACACCAAACCATGCACACATCCGAATACGCTCATTATATCGACAGATAATTAAGGTCGCCGTGTACTATCCAAGCTGAGAAGTGAACCGGTAACGTTCGCACAGATAACGCTATAGCGAGCTTTATCCCGTCGGAAGGCAGTACGTTTGTTCCTTGAGATCAATGGGAAGCGAAGGGGGCGACAAAGTAAGATTTAGCTGTGGAGACACATACACAGAGATACAGATAGAGAAAGAGAGACAGAAAGCGAGGGTGAGAATTGTGTTCTTCTTTGAAATCCAGACCTTGGCCTCTAGCTCTGGAGTAACCCGATTGAAGACAGTTGAATGGAGAAGTCGACCGGGAACACCAGAACAGGGAGAAGAACGAGTGAAGTAAGAAAGGAGCAAAGGTGTTAGAAAATAAAATGCTTGCATACAGAACGATCGAACGTCCGCGAGAGCGAGTAGAATCGAATTAAACGGTGTGACAAATTCGTGTTTCGTTGCAAACCAAACGCGGATTGTATAAGATTCGATTCTCTACTAACGCCTCGCGGATAACAAAATAACACCTTTTATCTTTCTAAAAGAATTCGCCAGCTTGGTCGTTCTATGATAAACAATGGTACCGTTTTTAATATTATTCGTCTATAAATATTTGACCATGGAAAAATAGATCGAGCGCCAGAGAAGAAGAGACTAGCTATTGTGAGATAAAAGTCTGACAGAATGATGAAGAGAAGATACGATGGCGCCTACCTATATCGCCATCGGACTGGGGCATAAACTCTTGCAGTTCATCGATCAAACCTCGAATTTCCTCGGAGTCCTTTTGGATGCTGTGCAGCTCTTCCTCATAGAAGTCTGGTGTGATCTGTTTGCACAGGACTATCTGCGAGATCACGTTGCCGAAGTTGGATGGACCGGTTCGTGCCTCTGAAACGAGACGAAAAATGTCTACGCTCATTTCTATTACAAACTGATTTCATAAGAGAATTTCTCGAGGTTCGAGGATCTATTATTTCTATCGAGTTTATTTTACTTATTCATCAGGAGTCTTGAATATAAACAAGAAATAGGTCGAATCATAGTAAAGTTACCGAAGTATCCCGTCATGTCCATCGGTACGACGCGAATGAGGTTTTTAGTTTTGCAGAGCTCGCGTAGGAATAGTTGAGCGATGTAAAAGAGAAGCATCAAATTCGGACAGTCTATAGGAATCCCGATATCCGTAGTTCTGAAAGCAAAAATCATTCGCTAACTTATCATTTTTTTCCCTTACCGCCAAGTTTTCTCGTTAGACATTTCGCCGCTTTACCTCCTCCAACTACTTTTTGTTCGCTGCGACGTTAAATCACTTCGTGGCCAATAACTTCGTATCCTATACTACAGTTTGCCTAGTTAATTACTTGCCAAACATGGATATTAATAACTTACGAAACTTGAAACAAGACAGCCGATGATATATAACAAAGCTTGGAACAAAAACTTGGTCCCGCATGCAATTTCGTTCGAAACAAAGCGAGTTCATATACTAAAATTAAAGTCTACGTTAGTTCCGTCAATTTAAATGTGAAATACTGGACGGTATTCTGGTATGAAAGCAATGTTAACCCGATAGATGATAAACGCCGTTTCGCGTTGTAACGCAACCGTTCTGCACCGATTTGACAGCCGCGATATTTCTTTCGTTTAACCATGGTTTGCTTGCATATCGTATCCAAATTGCAATGAATCACATCGAGGTATAAGTGTCAATAATGAATTCATTTAACAGACTGTATGAAATATAAAGTTCGAACTAGCCATTTTTCAATAAAATTATTAAGCTGTCGATTGCTCGATTGTATTTATAGAATTATTCTGTTATTTTATTATAACGTTATTAGATTAATTCGGTCAAATATATAAGGTAATACATGATGAGTTAAGAAAGACCTGGATGTCTTTTAAGATTAAAAATAATACGGAAATATAATGTCCTTTTGCGAATTATTTGCGATGCCCAATATTTTTTGTTTTTTCAGGTCAGAATCAGTTTTTATGATTTTAATTAGTCAGACATTTAAGTATCGTGTAAAGAAGGCAAACATAAGTTTCATTCCTTTTAATGTCAGTCAGCTTATACGCTTCAGTCTCGCACGGTTGCTACTTATCGTTTAATTTCCAGGTAGCGATCTGCCAGTAACGATTACCAAGAAACTTGTTCATATCTGAAAGTTTTAAATCAGTAAGCCCAGTTTCCAAACGGATTTCGACCCTTCTTATTTCAATTTTTTATCTTTTTGAAAAATTAATAAATCGTTCAATCGAATCTTAAACCCGGATAATAATAAATATATTTCTCGATGATCAATTTAAAAAAGAGACTGTAATTTATGGATTCTGTAAATTGGAATGACTAATCGCTATTGCTTCGCACACACGAGTAAACTGCTACAGAATGTTATGTATACACGTCTAGTGATTCTTCGCAAAGCGATAAAAATAAAAAAGCGTTTACGTGCCGTTATGTTGCGTCGCGTGGTCGACATGGAACTCGAGTAATTTCGCAAGATACGTGGCACGATATTATAACTTGCATAAGTATTGAGGAAGCTGTTTGCATGGTAAATCAAACGCGGGATGTTCTCTAGTCTCATCATCTGAGTAGATGCTGTTTTATTCAAATTCTTGAATCGTTTGCCATTCCCTTCTCTATACGTATAGTCACAGTTGTAATTTCTCGTATTTGATTTGCACGAAACGATTATTTAAGCGACGCTTAAATCGCGATTAGTGTGACGTCTGTTTAAAACAGGGAAATAATACACCGCTGCGTGTTACACGAATCCAGCGAGCCTTGTGTACATTGTACGTGCGGCACCGCGTCATAATTAACCAATTACATACGTGCAATATGTAATGAACGAATACATGATACATCCGTTAATCTAACAAGTGGACGTAAGGGGAGCCGCCTCTGTTAGGGGAAGAGAAAATAATTGAATACGGATACCGGATCGATGGTTCCATTTAATTAACAAGCAGTCCAGCAATAAATCGAGTTTTCACCGAAGAAATTGAGGTATAAATTTTTTTGTCCAGCCGTTAGAAATTTCACGAAATTCATTGAGCAAATTGAACGATTCGACCTCACAGGCTTTATTTGTTCCCTCACAAGTTAACAAAGTACATTCGATAAAGCGGTATAAAAGAAAGGAACTCGTGATATATTTAGTTTCTCATTAGAACCGACAACATCGTGAAAGAAAATTTCTAAAGGCGTCTTTCAGAGAATCTTTGTATACCAGATCGCCATTGGTCACAGTTTCCTTAGGAAAGCAATTTTGTGAAATCGATAACATTCTTTGCCCGCACACTTCAAAGTAATACGGACCCCCGTGATCCTATTATTTTACCCTTTCTTTTATCTGATCCTAGCGCACGGCAGTACATTTTTTCATAACATGCGCCAAACGAACGACTAGTGCGATAATATTCTCCAAAGAATTGTATAATTATGCCTTTCTGTGTATTGGGAGAACTCTGATTTTAAGTGGGACAAGATCAGAGTGATATAATAATAGCGAATAATTTGTTTTTGGAAGAATGATTAATAGCTTGGTCTTGAGAGAGTTTCATCATAGTTAGTGGAACGCCGATACAAAAATGATTCACCAGAATAGGATGGAGGCCGATGGCTTACGTCGCGACGATGTGTGTTTTCACGTTCCGTCTTGCGAAATCTGTAACAGTCTCGCTTCAAAAACAGAAACTAGCAGCACGCGCGGACGTTTCCGGTCGGTTTCTATCATAGAAATCTGTTTATCGTGGTAATTAAAATCTCATTAACCGGAAGCAATTCGAGTTGGCTCTGTTTGATGGCTTCGCTTAGCCCGTTTGTAGCGATAGACGTAAACTAGTTAATCACTCCCTTGGTCTCCCCCTTTTCTTGCTCCGTCCCAAGATATATCTTCCAATTCCTGAATTCTCTTTCCTCTCTTTCTATCAATTATCGAGCTTAATTGTTCAGGATATTCGTACGATTCGAAACGGCGGCGTATCAAGGGCATTGGTTAATCGTTGTAAAAGAAGAGAACTTTCAAAAAAGCTTACCGCACCTTCGCACTTGCGGCAAAACGAGCTGGGTCGTGCTTTTACACGCCTCTAAGCAATTTCGTCGCAGTTTCCGGATTTTCTCTCGGAGTTCCGGGCAGTCTCGTGGTTGGCCAATGTTTATCAGCAAATCGCGGTATTGCGCGACTTGACCGTTGATTTCCTGAATTTGCTACGAAACAAAATCGAAACGTGCAATTAATCTTCTTTGTCCGGCTGTTTATAGTCGGAAGCGGGACTGTATCTGATCAGGATGGGCGCAACGTGCCCCGGTGTTCATACGCTGTCGGGTTAAGCCCCTTGGGATTATAAAGCGAGCAATACGTTGTTTCGTGATTGGCGATTATTTGCCTGTTAACGAAGTGAAATCTTTTATTGCATTATCTCGCTGTAAATTGTCTCTCTATTCCCAGTTTTAGTTTTTCTGCAATTGCTACGGCGAGTGCAACAACTGCGAATAAGTGTAGATGGTAAGCTCTGACAGTTGGAGCTACTATAGCGACGTCAAATTTTATATTTCCAAAAAGAAAATATATATATACGCTCTCTCATTCGTTCACAGTCACAGAGATTAAAAGAATCACAAAATAGAGGACTGTTTCGTTATAATTTATTATAATTTATGCCGAGACACTACCATAAACGGTTACACGTATGGTCGTTTTTCCTCGCGTTCTGTTCCACGAAAGTGTTAGACTGTGTGTAGATAATTTACTACAATGATAGGTAGACAGTGGATGTGAAATAAAGAGGGTAATATTAAGATTACCAGAAGCACAGCCTTTTCTGACTTCTCGGTCCTATCGTCTGGATGTTGAGTTTGAGCTTGCGAGTGACTCGGAGCGTGACTGTGAGCCTGAGTATTGCTGGCCGAGGGTATTGGCGACTCCGTCATTATTTCACTTTAAGGAATACTGTTTAATTGCCAATTGGCACAGGGCAATCGACAATGTAACTAGCCGAAGTTTCCGAATACTATGAGCTCCGATTTGCTAATCCAGTCATACTGAATTCACATCATGTAAACACTAATATCATTACACCAATACCGTGTACATTTCTAATTCACCGCTAGGGACAAGCACGTTCACCGATGTTGCTACTACGAATATTAACAACAATTCACGTTTTCATTCGCCTACCCGAATGATCGAATTCTTCATCGACTCTATTTCTTTCAACCGAGTGTCTCAATTCGATTTTTAGCAAAATATGAAACAACGAAACGCTCGGATATACATCTTCTATTGATAACACGAACACTATGGTGTCTGATAAGAGGTTTGTCAAAGACCTCCGTCAAAGGTCTTCTTGCTGTCAGTTCGAGAATACCGAGTAGATGGTGTTTACATGATCCATGTTATTGGGTTGCAGCTGTATGAGCTGCGAACAACTGAGTGTGCGACGCGGATGACAAGGCCTCTCGTATTTGGCGGCAATTGTGGTTCCCTTTGTCTCGTAATCCCGGAAATGATCGAGAACTGTCTCAGATCGAGCACACTCCACCATAACACGAACGCAACGTAGCCGGTATCGATTGATCGAACGATTTTCAGACAAAAACCAAACCAAGTCAGACGTTCCTACTCGTTATTGCTTGCGACGTCGGTGACGACGAGGCATAACGCGTTAATGAATCGACCGCAATATCCTCAATATGAATTTAGTCACGACGATAGTTTCGGCGTATTTTTTGGAATTCCTACCGGTATCGTTACTCGCGTTAAACGTAGCTCTCGTTACCCTCATGTTTTTTTCTGTGAAAATTCACATGAAACGTAACGCGTCTCACGCGTTCCCGTCGAATAAAACGACGACGTTCGTGTGGCACGCGTTTCTCCTCCCCGATACGATCGACACATCTCGCATCGTCGATTATCACGATCACGGAACGCGAAACGATATGCGCGCCGTGCCAGCACACGCGACAAACTGAAACGTGGGTTTTGCTCTCGAGCTCTTTCACTGCTACGATTCCCTCTTTAAGAGCGCATGTCTGACTCGGTCTGTCAGTTTACTACTGTTCTGCATCTACGTGCACACAGGCACACGTCCCGTATGCACACGCTAGACTTTAATCATTCCTGTACCAAATTTCGGAATACTTGAGGGAACGCTCCTGTTCGTTCTCTGACCTCGATAACGAACAAGGTCCCATGTATCTTTCCAAGTTAGGTACGCGTCCGTCTTTCAGTGCCGGGGAAAAATAGACAGGATGCGCGGCAGAAAATAATAGCGTGATGCGAGAGATCACCGCATATCTTTTTGTATAGGAAGAAAGGAAACCAAGGAGCGTGCTTTTATAAAGACGAAGTCCTCGGTCAAAGAAAAGACTAATATCTTATCTCTTGTGCACGAACAAAGTCGTGGGATACGACTGGAAGGATAGTAGTAGCGATTCAATCTTCACGGATTTTTATTTATTGAAAGAGTATGAAAGAAAGTCATATAAATTTGTCGATCCGAGAACCTTCATTATTCTACTGTTAATGTCTGAAACGCGTTTTCTCTGTCTCTAAATGAATTTTAAATTAAAACGAGCGGCCGGTTACTCGCTCAAGATCGTGTTCTGTGCAGGAAGTAATTACGGAGAGAATTCGTGTCATTAGCGGAAGGATTTTTGCATGCCACGGTTGGCACTCTACAACAGAGAGACACCGGAAATAAACACGGAAGTTCGTGAGCCGGCGGAATGAGTTTTACGTTAACAGCGATACCTAACTATAGATTCGGCGAAAAAACGTTCAGTAAAATGAGAAACGTATTATTGCGTGACGTCCATGTAACTGTTTCAGCGATCGAAAATCATTATACATTTTCTACATAACAATCATTACAATGACGTAGAAAAAGATAAATGCAATTTGTGACTTCGAAATTATCCGTTCACAGTAGTTCCACTATACATCGAATTCTGTTTCGTTCAATCGCTTTTCATCCAAACAATTAAGATATTAACTTTGAATCCTGTTTTAAAACCACAGTACTTAAGTTTTCAGTAAATAAAATCTGTCGCGAGAGTTCGTACGTTTATTTAACCTGAACGAAGTAATTTTAGTGTAAATTTGTTAATCGTATTTCAGGTAGAGAAGTTCATAGTTTCGTTGGTAAAACGTCACGCTTCAGAAATCAGTTTATAAACTTAGCCCACAGGATGTATGTTTGACTCGTCCTGCATTATACTACTGCGCCGTAGGAAGCCCATAATTAATACGCTTGCAACTTGTTACTTTAGTAGTCGAACGCCGAAGTTGTTTTAAAATTATGTAAATTATATAACGACTATGCACAAAGTTCTCCCTGTTGAATTGTAAATACTTAATTTCTATGAATAGACTATGAAAATTGATTTATGAAACTTCTAATTAATGGCTGACAATAAGATTTAGTGAGGAATAAATCAGAGGAAAGAAGAACGATATCATCATAAATCAATATCACTTCTCTGTAGGCAGTCTCGTAGTATGGATCTACATACATATGTATAGAACGTCGCGTCGCTACACTAATAGACGCCGAACTGACGTTAATACGCGGCAGCTTATTTTACGAATTAAGTTATCGGACGGGAGTAATCAGGCTTGGAATAGGGCAAAAATCTGTCAAACCTCTAATAGAGTCGATAATTAACATTTTGCTGCCAGCCGTTTCGCAATGTTCTACTTCCCATTCTCTCGTTCTTTCCTATTTTTATGTTTTTACGTTCTATTTTCTCGTTCGAATTACGTTGGTGAAACGATTCGGGTCGCGTTTGTATCACTGCGACAGTCGAAATTCAGTAAATTCTAATAAGGAAGGAAATTCGTAACGGCGCTTGTAGAATTCAGGAGAACCCTTGACATCGATAATTATTATCAATTTTCACTGACAAGTTTCCAATTCATTTCCGTGCCCGGTATCAAACGTAAGACTTTTTTCGTCCCACTTGAAAAAAAAAATCGTCTCCTTGAACGGATTAAAAAAGTGCGATGTTTAACGAGTCACCTGAGATATCGAGATTTTTCTAGCCACGAGGTAGAACGAGGAACGCGATGTTTACGATAAGGGGCGGAACTGAATTTTATCGGGTTCCGTTCGGATATTTTTTAATCTCTCTTTTATCTATTTGTACACGAGATCGGAAACGAACGACCCCAGTGTTTACGTTCGTAGATTCCTCGAAATAAGAAAGACGACCTCTTCTATTCTTTGCGACGTTATTAAAACATTTCCTCATTTACCTGGCGCACTGTCTGTGGTTTTTAATCTTCGAAAGCATGGAAACAAATTCTTCGAGGTTGCGACTGAAATCAATTTCTGAAATGAGACTCGTTGAAGAAATTGCCTTTCCTTCAAGGTCTGACCTTTCCTCGGCTGTACTACTTGATTCCAGTAGTAATTTCCTTTACATCGTGAAGAGCTGTAAGGAGACTGGAACGTGCAGTGCAACGAGTCAATAAGAATCGCTGTTTGATATGACATAATCTTTACTGGTCTTGTTAAAAGCCTTAAGAGATTGCTTTATGCTTTATTAAAATACAGCAATGCATTACTTTACTAAGCTCAATAAAATATTACATGTACAGTGTCTTTGTTAATAAAATCAATGAATAATGAATGATACGTATAATACTATTATTGTTCATTTATTTATGTAGTATTTTTTTTACATCTTGCTTGTTCATATCAGCAGCAATATATACTTACTAAGTTTCTATATAACAATGAATCTTAGCAGTGGATTGATTTACGTCGTTACTATAATTCTCAGTCATTCGTTCTATTGTAAGGCGAGCACAATCTGTAGGTTCCACGATATAATGAACACGGCGAAGTTTTATTGTTCCATCCATACAAGTTAGCTTTCCGTTTCACCGTTGCGGCTGTAGTATAGGGACGAGGGTTTAGAGACAAACCGCGCTGTTCCACGGCCCTCAGGAAAACGGATATCTGCAGCAAATTTCATGTCATAAACGTCCAGCGCAGAATAGAGACTCTCAACCTTTCGAGTACCGGTTGCGGCACCATATATACGACTTTTTCAAATATTAATCCGGCCGTCGGATTAAGCCAGAGACTGTCCTCGCCGAGTTTTTTTTCTTCTGCCCCTCGCCTTCAATTCCAAAGCGTACCGCTGCAAGAATTAAATTATGAATTTTGCGTATAATTAATCCCATTGTTACCTTGTGCCATGACGAGGTGATTCATTATGTTTTACAATTATTTGAAGTCCTTATTACTATAATGGAGCGAAGAAGTCAGCCTGTGTTACGTATTCTGATGCAGTGAAAGTTGAAAAGTTAGAATTTTCTTTCAGACAGCTACAGCTACGCGGAGATGAAAAGCAATTCAATTTTGTGTGCAGGAAAAGCGTGAAATTAAAAACTGCTGACGTTAACACACAAATGATTAACACTATTCACCGAAGGGGTTGGGAAGCATATTTCCAACTTTTAATTCGAAATTAGTATGAAACGAAAACGGAAAGAAAAATATTTTTCTTGAAAATTATTTCCACAGTTATTTTCATTCAAATGCAGAGTTGTCAAATGACGTGATTGGTAAAAATAGATACATGGAAAAGAGCGGTAAAAATAGTGTTAAACAACCTTCACCCGTATCTACGACGAATCCTATCTTCAGAAAGAATTCTTCTTCATTGATAATAGTAACTGATTTGTCGACAAAACTTGTAAATCGAGAATATAGAGCGTAGGTAGACTCTTGGCTTTCTTCATTAGATTTCAAATATTTCTTGTATGCGAGCTTTTTCACTAGTTTATTTTGTTATTGAGTATCTACTACAGGACTTGAAAAACCGCAGATGGAACGGGATAAAAATACCATTCGAACAAATTTGAATCTGCCGTATGTTCGGGAAATCGTGTACGCGCAGCGTTTATTTTGCATTTTTTAAAAATACATAACGTCTACTAAAATTGGGAACACGCTCGGCTTTCAATAAACACAATAGGCAGTGATTGAAAACGGTTTAATCGAGCAATACCTATGAATGCAATAATTCAAAAAGCTTTGAACGAGGCCTGGGTTTCGAATGGCGAACGGCCTTGTATGCCTACAGTGGCAATATGTGAGACAGTATCTAATAGATGAACTTGCACCCAGGCTGTTAATGTCGGATCTGGTTTTCGGTGCTGGTGTTTCGTTGATGCACGATACATCGGCGCCAGATGTCAATTTACATTTATATCGACCGCCGCGTAGCGTCGCATCGCATCGCGACGCGTCTTGAGTTCGCGAGCATTTACGACGCCTGACAAACTGATACCGATAACGGAGACGATAACCGATACTCATCGATTCGTTCGCTCATCGACACGTCGATTCACACATTCTCCCATCACTGACTCTACCGATAGAATGAAAAATCGATATATAATTGCAAATAGCGCAACGCGGCTCATAAATTAATTTCGTTTAACCATCGTGAAATCGATTTTTCACATTTTATTCTCCATCTGAACGTTCGGACTTTCATTCTTTCAGGCATCAGTTGTTCGCGCGCGTCCAGCGAAACGCGACAACTCTGTTGTGTCCCACGATTTGCATTCCGTTTTGCATGTATGCATTCGCTTTGCATCCATTAAAAATCAGGACGGCACGCCGCCGCCGCCGTCGGTTGGCGATAATCGAGAATCGTAGGCTACCCGATGCAAATGTAAGTCTCAGAATGTTTCGCCCTAATTTCGTTAACCAATCTAAATAAATTTCGTTACAATAATAAAGCCTTGATACGTTGATACGCTATTAAATCAGTGGAAATCGGGCGAAATATCTACGTACGTAACTTCAAACTTAGATATGATTCATAACGAATGAGGCTCGTAATTCAAACATTTGATTTATTAAAGCAACTCTGATGGCGTCTCGCCACAAAATGCGTCGGTAATTTTTTTAAAACGCTCTCGATTACGACGTGTCCTATTTG